TCCTGTTCCTCCCCAGGCACAGGGAGGGAAGGAGCTAAACTCCAACACAGGCCCACAGCAATGTCCCTGAGCATGGCCTTGGCTTCTCTCTTTATTTCTATTGATACAAATTACGTTAAATGGCCTTTTGACCTGTAGTTGAGGCAGGGCTTTCTTGTGTTTCTGGAATTTCCATGAAGAATGTAGAGCTACCTTGTGCCTATTGTTTTCAGTTTTGAGGCTTTAACTGCGATCCTGCAAGCTGATGCAACTGGAGCAGTACCATTCAGGTTCTTGATGAGATTTCTGTAGCTGAAATGCTCTGCTCATAGCAGCCCATGCAGACACCACTCCTGGCTTCATTTCTTTACTCACTTCTTACAGACACACACACACACACACACACACACACACACACACACACACACACACTTTGTCTGAAGAGAGAAAAACAAAGCCAGTCTGCCTTAAGGACCTGGCCTTGGTGCAGAGGTAACCCTAGATCCCCAGGGTAAAAGTACTTGATACAGCCTCAGAAAGGAGGGACAGGGAGGGAGAGAAGGTGCAAGAGCATCCAGCATGACTGACAGTGGCTGTCAGGGAAGGCTTCCTCAGTAAGTGAGGTCTAAGCTGGAACTTGTAAGATTTAGCTAGAGTAGGGAATGAGCAACTTAGCCAGGGAATGGCATGTGCAAAGGCTCAGAGGACAGAAGTACATCTGAACATCTGGAATTACAGTTAAGCGGAAGATAGCTCAGGGGCAAGGCAAAGGAGTAGGCGGCACTGAAGAGATGACCAGCCAGATGACCGACACCAGGAAAGGGCTCTACCCCAACAGAAAAAGGCAGTTCTAAGTGACTGTCACAGAGGCTCATAAAGTCAATTTGCAGACAAAACAGCTCACATGGCTGAGAACTGATGGTGTCTTGCAGTCAGGGAAACCAATGATGGGCTACTTTCCTGCTCTCCGGTCCTATCTGCCACTGGTGGAGTTCAGGGTAGAGAAACATGTGAGTTGGGCTGAGTGAGCACCAGAGAAAAATAGGAAGCTTTGAGAAATATAAAATTTCTTGTTTATTTACTCCAGTTCCATATTGCAGGAAAAACTAGAAGTTCCCAACAGAGCAAAGACTCCTCTGCCCATGACATGTCTGTGCCCAACATATTTACCAGCCTCAAGGGTGTGCCTTGGCAAAGACTGAAGAGCACAGACCCTAGTCCCAAAGCACTACAGTTAAGGCTTAAGTGATCATGGTTGAATTGCTATGGCAACTCAAATCAAGTTTGGCTTTGGTCTGGCAGAATGCAAGTGATAGAGGAAAAACACTGTGATGAACAAAAGGGTTTGTGGCTCTGGCCCAGAGCAGAGGGAGGGGGAGTTATCTCTGTATGGGTTTTCCCTTGTTTCCTTGTTTGATAGACAATGAGGCCAGGCAGCTGGAGAGAGGGATGGTCCTGAGTTCTGGCTAAGAAGGCTGTAATAACAATGACAACTGGAAGTATATGGCAAAATGGAGCCTACATAAGGCATGTGGACCCCTCAAGATTTGCTTGGGAATCCTGAGATCTGAAGAAGAAGGGAAGATAAGTATGTGGAAGATGGGCAGCAATTCATAATTGGGTGTTATCCTAGGAGACCATGATAGAGGCTTATAGCTGAGGCTGAGGTCTCCCGAGGGGTGTCCTGTGACGTTCACTGTGTATGTCTTAGAACCCAAGCTCTGTGGAAAAACTTTCTTTTGTCTGCTGCTCTATGGCAAACTGGCAGCCTGGTGTCCTGAGGACACTCTCCTCCTGTCTTCACCCTTCCAGGGAACTTAGAGTGGAGTCTTGGGAACTCCTGTCTCCTGCCTCAACTCTCCCAGTGAACTTACAGCCTGAGTTTATAGCTTAGTTAGGGTTACTATTATTTTGATGAAAGACTGTGACCAAAGCAAGCTGGGGAGGAAGGACTTGGTTTACACTTCCATATAACTGCTCATCAAAGGAAATTAGGATGGAAACCCAAACAGTGCAGGAGCCAGGAGGCAGGAGATGATGCAGAAGCTGTGGGGTGGGGTGCTATTGGCTGGTTGGCTCCTCATGGCTTCCTCAGCCCAGGCCAATCAGCCAAGGGATGGCCAGAACCACGGTGGGTTGTCCCCTCCTGCATCAATCACTAGTTTAGAAAATGATGTCCTACAGCCGTGCCTATAGCTGGCTCTTTTTTTTTTTCTTGAGATAGCGTTTCTCTGTGTAGCTTTGGCTGTCCTGGATTCGTTGTAGACCAGGCTGGCCTCAAACTCACAGAGATCTGCCTGCCTCTGCCTCCCTGAGTGCTGGGATTACAGGCATGTACCACCACCTGTGGATTTTCTCAATTGAGGTTCCCTCCTCTCAGATAACTCTAGTTTGTGTCAAGTTGACATAAAACTAGCCAGGACAGTCATTGCAATTTCTTCCTCTTAATCTACATCCTTATGATAAATCTGAAGTACAGAGGTTTGGGGATCCCCTTCTGTTATCCTCACTCCTTGTTAAATTTGTAGAACATGATTCTAGGGACCTCCTCATCCTGTTCCCAGACTCTCTGTGAGCTTGAATTGCAGGGTCCTGGGGGCCTTTTCTCCAGTGTCTGAACTGTCCCACTCTTGGAGGGTTTTGGTGATGTTCTGGTGGGAAAGTCTAAAACAAACCTGGAGAAAGAGAATCAAACAGTGTCTAGGGATCCACAAGCCTCAGAATTTCAGCCCATTCTATTTCTAAGTTGTCACACTCTTTTCCTCTTGGTGACAGCTTGAGTTGAGAAACGAGAAAAGAAGGGTGAGGAGCTGACATCTAATGTTGCTCTTAGTTGCCATTGGCAGGGTCTGCCATGACCCAAGCTTGATGAGCAAGAGAGAGAGATTTTTGCTGGGTCAAGGTGTGTCTCACCTGGGAGTTTTCAGGCGGACGAGCCAGCTTGACTTTGGGATGGACACTTTGATAGCCTTGTAAAATAGTCTGATGTGCTTCCTTGGGACAGAGACTAATGCCAAAAGTGTGGATTTATATCTACAGGATGTGATAAAGGAGGCAGGAAGGTGGGACCCCCTCCCTTTCCTGCAGCTGTCTTAATTAAGCATCTGTGACCGACATTCTAAGGTCAATCAGTAATCCAGTCCTTAGCCTCAGAGTCCCAGCTACTCCATGGAGGCGGGCGCCCGTGTGGAAAGCAGAGGGGGAGGGGATGACCTTGCCTGCCTTGAGAATCTGTTCTGTAAGCGTGCGTTTGTATGCGTGCATGGTTGGCATGTACACTGCAAACACCAGGAAATCCAAAACCTCCCTGACTGAAATCACCAAGCTGACTCCTGTCAGGGAGAACAAACAGAAAAAACAAGAAAAACTCCTATTTTGAAACAAAAGCAACCTAATTATTATTAGTAATTTATAAAGAAAAAGATATTTCACCAGGTAAAGGGACTATGCTAAGGAAGGGGACAGCCTCAGAACAAAGGATGATTTTACCAATAAGGTCAATTGACAGATTCACATGTACACAGCTCACAAACCACACACTCCATCACACCACACACTCCATTTACACCCTCCCACACGCCCCAAACCACTAAGACACCCCACTCCACCACACTGCATGCTCCACTCCACACACACCATATACGTGCTACCCCCGACTCCAAGGCCTGGGGAAAGACTGGATGGAAGCATCTGTGGGCTGAGAGGCACCTGTGCTGGCCCAGCACAGGGCCTGGTAGGGCTGGAGAATCTTCTCAAAGCAGGCCAGGCTACGTCTCATAAATCACCATGTTGGATTCAGAAAGGGAGATGTGGAAGAGCGAGAGTAACCAGCTCCTCACTGAAGGCCAAACACAGTGTCCCCCAGAGAATGGACTTCTGTCTTCATTTGTCACACACCCTTGGCACTACTTTTCTCATTGTTCATTGAACGTGATGCAACTTGAGCGGGGGAACGTTTGGCTTATGGCTCCGGGGATACAGTCCATCCTGGCAAACAGAGAAGGATTGGTGGCAGACGTGGCTTGAAGCTAAGGCAGTGGGAATGTGTTCGCATCACATAGATCAGGAAGCAGAGAAAGGTGTTCAGATACTCAGGTGGCTTTATCCTTTTCTTTCTTACTTTGTCTTTTTTCAAATTCAGGCCAGGACCCCAGCTGGTGGAAAAAAGTCACCGGAATTCTGGGTCAGTCTTCCCTCCTTAATGTTAAACTCTCTGGAAATACCCCCATATACATAATGAAGGTATGGCTCATTAAGGTCTCTTAAATATTTAAGATGTTTCTTAAATATTTTTAAAAAGATTTATTTACTGTTTTTATGTGTATGTATGTTTTGCCTGCATGTATGTATGTGCGTCATATGCACACCTGGTTCTCTTAAGGGTCAGAAGAAGGCATCTGGTCACTTGGAACTGGAATTACAGACAGAACCATTATATGGGTGCTGGGCATCAAACCGGTCCTGCAAGCACAGCCATGAGACATCTCTTTAGCCCCTGAGGCGTTTCTAAATTCAAGCTGACAAAATTAATAATCACATCATTTTACTGTGCCAGGCCAGGCCACTTCCCATGTCTTGAGGATAGTCTGGAGTTTTCATTTTCAAAAAGGAACACTGCTCACAGTGAAGGCCTGGACACAACTTCAGGATACTTCCAGCTGGGAAACCCAAAGTCTAGAGCTCCCTGCAGCCAGCCTGCTCGCTGGCCTTTGCCTGCTGGGTTTGTCCTCAACCTCAGGTGACAGGCTATAAACAGCTCTCCCAGTGTCGCGCGCAGCCCTCGCCGATAAGGACGACGCAGCAACAACGGATTTGTCCAGCAGCAACTTTATTGTGAGGCTCTTAACAGCAGATGGAGAAGGACCCCGAACCCTGTGTGCGTTCTGCTTAAGTAGCCAGCAGGGTGACTTGTTCGTCTGTAATTGGTGCTCCACACAAAACCCAATTAGCATGTGGTCTCCAAATGGAGGACCACACAAGCCTACATTAGCATAAGGCGGCGCATGCGCAGATCGCAAAACAATGCTGGCAAGAAGAACCAGGAAGCAGGAAACCGGCGCCATCTTGTAATGGCGGGAGTGGCTCCCGACATCCCAGGGAAACACAGACCATAGCTGTGCCCCCCACCCCCCGCAGAGGCCTCTCTCATTGGTTCAGCTTCTTTGTCTGCAGTTCCTAGCAGCTGACTTACATTGTCTTTATGTGCTTTTATGGTGAGCTCTGACCGTGTCTCAAGTGGGAAAATGCCCAGCAAAACCTCAATTTCCTACGAACAGAGATTCTGAATCACCCATGAAATGAAAGCTTGTTCCTTTGAAAGATCTTTAATAGATGTGCAGAGGCAGCAGTGGAGGTACTTGGTGGTTCCAGGGACAAAAATCCTTCAGTTCTGGAACCCACAGAATAAAAAGCACACAAGGGCCCCCATGTGGCTATCCCACATATCTATACATTACATATCCACATCACATGTCTGCACGTGTGCGTTGCTGCACGTGTATTTGTGCTGAGCTGGGCTGAGGAGAACAGGGAGACCTAAGGAGACAGCTACTTTTCATTCTGTCATGGAAGAACTCGTCTGGAGAGGGGAAGTTGACTTTGGCATCAACACTGCCTTTTAAGTTAAGGTGGACCTTGGGCAAGTAAGTCACTATAGTTCTGTGAGCTTTATCCATGAAATGGACACAAAGGGTCTAAGGCATGTAACAGACACCATCCAGGTTCAGACAGAGAGGGATTTTACAAAGAGTAGTGGGTGTTTATATCACTAGAAAAACAAGAAGAGCTCAAGGCCACCAGGCCAGGCAACTGCTGATGTCTACACACTCACTGGCATAGAACTTCATAGTTCTGAAGCTACTGACAAGACCATGGACCCTGGAAGGGACCATCACCAGCACTGAGTGTCTGCCTGCAGCATGCTGCTCCTCCGCAGAGAGGTGGTGCCGTCCAGCCTCCAGGCCTGTCACTAATCTGTCAATAGGCAGATGGTGACAGAGTCTCAGCATGGCCTGGAGGGTGCTTCAGCTCTGTGATCACTGGAGGTGGGGAGTGAGATGCAAAGGGAGATTCCATGTGAGCATTCAGTGTAGTCTTTTTGCTTCAAAGTCCCATGATTCTGGTGGGGAAAATATACATGAGGAGGCTCAGCAGAAATAGCCCTTTAAAAAAAGATGTCTGCTTGTGTTCCAGGATGAATTCATTATGTAGCCAAAGATGACCCTGAACCTATCCTCTTGTCTCACCCTCCCCAATGCTTGTGGGATCATATACTTGTGCCACCATGCCTGATTTATGTGGTGCTGGAGTTCCAACTCAAGGCTTTGCACATGCCGGGAAAGCACTCTACCAATTGAGGTATATCTACAGTCCTAGAAATTCTACCTTTTGATGATTCCATTAATTATACCATTGATCTTGCCATACTGTGCCCAGCTAGCCCCTATGCACAAATTACATCCTTTCATTTATTTATTTATTTTTTATAATTTATTTGCTTTCTATCCCTATCGATTATAGCACCCTCCCTTGTCTCTCCTGGTCCCATCCCCCTTCTCCCCACCCCCTCCCTTAGTCCTCAGAAATGGGGAGCCCTCCTCCCCTACCATCTGATCCCAACCTATCAAGAACCACCTGCATCCTCTTCCTCTGTAGCCTGTCAAGTCCCACCCCAACAGAAGGAAGTGATCAAGCTGGCAAAAGAGTCATGTCAGAGACATCCCCTGCTCCCCTTACAAGGACACCCACATCCTTATGAGGGTAAAGCTTCCTCCAGGCTGGTGGCAAAGTGATCCTTAAGCATCACTTCTGAGGAGAGAGTCAAGAGGGAATCTGCCAGTTTCCGTTCCTTTCCATAACTCTTCTCACTCCAAGTTTCATCCTTATGGAACATGAAAGATTAGAGTTTTAGGAGCTTGGAAGGTGGCTCGGTTGCTAGAGTGCCTACTGAGTTTGGATCTTCAGTACCCAAGTCAATCCTTGGCATATCTGTAATCCAGCACTCAGGACATAGAGACTGATTCCTGGGGATATGGGATCTAGGGAAAGCTGCTTAGACCAGTTTTAAGTGATAGACCCTGTTTCAATAAGTAAGGAGAGTGATCATGGAGATGCTTTCCAAATGTGTAACACATATGTGCACATGCGTCTGTACACACACACACATACATGCACACAAAAATAGAATTGGAGGAGCACAGACAAAGTTCAGGGAAAGACAAGAGCTCTCTTTGTTCACACAAAGGCCTTAGACCCATTACTGAAGCACATGGGACCCCTCTCTCCAGGAGGCTCTGCGTTCAGCAGGATTTCTAGCATGGGCAGCAGGGAGAAGCAGCTGGTTCCAGTCTCTGTGTCTCCTCTCCGCTTCCTCGCCCACCAGAGCAATCTGAGATAATGAGCAGAGCAGAGGGCAGGAGCCTGCTGATGCTGCTGCATTATGAGGAGTGGGAGACAGAAAGAAGGAATAGAATTTAAACACTGATGAGAAACCTTCCCTGTGCCTGCATCAGTCCTCCAAATTGGCACTAATTGCCACCTCCTCCTGCCACACCTGTCGGCAGAGCAACAGGAAGGGACTAGCTGATTCTCCTTTGAAAGTTAGTTCCACTTGCAAGTGGTGATGGTGACAGCGAGTAGGAGAAGGTGGGGAGGATAGCCTGAAGTAAGGGGGCTCTGGTGGGGACCTGGGGACACGTGGAAGGTTCTAGCTACCCCCACAGCCCACTGTGCTGCCCCTCGAATCTGTAAGCCTCCTTCTGAGAATGGCCTGGGAAGCAGACACTTTTACAATCGACAGTATCATACAGAGGTTAAGTGGGTTTTCAACATGTGGGCACTGGGGTGGCACTCTCTCTGGCTATGATCCTGAGTCTGGTCCTTGGGCATCGCTGGCTATCAACATAGACTGATATGTTGAGAAGACACCAGGAGATAAGCATCTATTTTGAATAAAGACTTTTGTAGACTTAAAAGAGTCCATAAGTCTTTGTTGGTAAGAGCCCCAGAACCACCAAGAGGACAGAAGGCTATATCCTCAGACCAGTGGACAGCAGAAACAGTTTGGTCTCAATTCCATCGTGTCATCTCTTTGGGCCAGTGTTATCTGTACTCTCCATGGGAAAGTAGAGTTACTTCATTTTGGATCCAGCAGCTGGGGTTCTTGGTCTTCCAAGCACCTGTCTTTCCCTATCTCCTTCTCCCTCAAACACTACCCTTAGAGATCATGTGTTCTTTCTGACATTCTTTTTCTGTTTTTCTTTTTTTAAAAAGCTATTTTATTTTTACTTATGTTTATGTTTATGTGAGAGAGAGAGGGAGGGAGGGAGAGAGAGAGAGACAGAGAGAGAGAGAGAGAGAGAGAGAGAGAGAGAGTTGTGTGCATGTGCCCAAGAAGGCCAAAAGATGGTGCTGGATCCCCTAGAGCTGGAGTTCTAGGTGAACTGCCCACTTATGGGTGCTGGAAACTGAAACCAGGGTTTTTGGAAGAGCAGGAAGTGACTTCACCTTTGGACCATCTCACTACCCCTTGTTTTGCCTTTTGGAGACAGTCTCATGTAACCAGGCTGTAAGGGTGAAGATGGCCCTGAATCCTTATGCTTCCACTTCCTAAGCACTGGGACCACAGCCATGCACCACCACACCCAGCCATTAGTGCTCTTTTTCAGGTGCTTGCAGGGTGATCTGTGAGTGTCGAAAAAGAATCCCTGTGACTGCTGGGAAAGAGCCTGGATGTGCCCTGAATACACAGACGGATGTTGTTATTCAGCAGGAAGAAAGAAGAGGGAGAAAGCAAAGGGAAAAGATATTGTTTGGGTACAATCTGTGTTTGCAATTTTCCACATCGGTTCTTTTTATGAACACTCCAAAAACAAGACAACAGCAGTGGCTGATTCAATATGCGCCATGCAGGAAAACAATAAGGAAAGAAAATAAGGGTTTTTAATAAGCACTTGGAAAGGCTGTAATTAAATCTTGGGCTCTGTTTGGAAAACAAGAATCTCATTTAGTGCTTTGCCCCCGCGCTCCCTAACATCTGCACCCATGTTTTCTGCTGGGCAATTACTGCATCCTCGGTGGCTTGATTAACAAATACAGGTGCGGATTTGCTCAGGAAAAAGATCCTGGGATGGAAGTTGGGGTGGTGGCAGGGGGCTGTGGGAACAGGGAAGAGTTGGCTCTCCCTAACAGGTGTCTTGTGGACTTAGTGGAGCCTGAGAAAAAAGAGTTGCTGGCTCTGGGGAAGGAAGACTGTAGGGATGGGAGAGAAAAGAGTGTCTTCTGGTCCCTACCTGCTTTTCTTAGGGTCCCCTCCCACAGAGGGTTATGAAAGAGGAGGGCTCTGGCTTAAGACTCAGGGACTTTTCAAACACTCTAACCAGCTTGATGTGATGGCATATACTTATAATGTATAGAGGGGGAGGCAGGAGAATATGGTGTTCATGGTCATGTTCAATTACTTACATAGCTCAAAGCCAGTCTGGGTAACATAAATCCCTGATTCAAAACCACCAAAACCACCAAAACCAAAACCAAAATCAACCAACCAAACACTAACAATAAAATCAACCAACCAAACACCAACAATAAAACCAAAATCCAGCCAATTAATCTACCAACAAACAACCATCCAAGCAACCAAATAAACAAAAGCTATGGCCAAGGAAGAAGGGATTTTTGGTAAGACTATAGGATCCTGGGGATTGTGTATCCCCAGAAGTTTTCTTTATAGGAAAATCTCTGAGGTACATTGGTTGTGCTTATCTCCTATACCTGTTGGCATTAAAAGCATCTGCCTTTTGCCTTAGGCCCCTGCCTGTCCTGTAGAGACACCAGGCCTTCCCCCATGGTGTAAAAGTCCTGTTTGTCCTGAAAAGTCACATGTGGATATTGCCATGCAGAATTCTGTCCAAGCAGTGGTGTTAGGGTTCTAGTTCTGTTGTCCATAAGGGGAAGCTAAGGCACAGAGGTTAGGCGGCACACAGAAGCTGATGTAGGCAGGTTGGTGTGGGGCCAGCTCTTTGTACCTGGGCGTCTGGTTGCAGAGCCCTTACTGTCCATTCCTTGCTCCCTTTGATGTTCAGCAGAA